AAATGCGCTACTTGCAGAAAGAAGCTGGCGAGCTCCTGGCGGAAGCAACTCTGCCAAGACTGCATAGGGTTATCAAAAAGGAGTCTGGGTCCCACTTTAAGGATTTATTACAGAATATGACACAAGAGATGTCTAAGACTTTTCAGAGCTTCAGGGAGCAGAAGCTGGGACCAGCCCAGGACGAGCCCCAACCGGGCACTTCAGGCAGTACCCAGGGGGGGAAAAAAGAGGAAGCAGGATCAGGTAACTGTCTCAAGGGAAGCCGAACCATTGAGTACTTCAGACTCGGAGGAAGGCGAGGTTGAGGATCGTGACCCAAAAGCACAAAGATTCCTTTTTCAGGCAGAAGACATGGAGGGACTTCTGAAAGTGATCTACGAGACTCTGGATCTGGAGGAGGAACAGCAGGACCTCTCTCTCCATGACCAGCTGTACTCAGGGCTACAAACAAAGAGCAGCCGCACATTCCCAGTGCACTCTGCCCTATGGTCCACTATTAGGAGGGAATGGGAAGAGCCGGAAAAGTAGACTTCTTTCCCAAGAACCTTAAGAGATGATTCCTGTTCAAGGAAGAAGATGCTTCCGTGTGGGAAACCTGCCCGAAGCCAGATGCCCCTCTTTCTAGAATCTCGAAAGCGACGGACCTGTCCTTCGAGGACGGCGGGTCCCTGAAAGACCCAATGGACCGGAAAGCAGATACATTCCTGAGGAGAGCATGGGAAGCGTCTGCGGTGAACTTCAAGCCAGCAGTAGCGACGACTTGCGTTTCGCACCTGGAACAAGGTACCCCTGGCGGAGGAAATCCTGAAATCGCTGCCGGTACTGGAAAAAAGCGGCGGCTTTTATTGCAGACGCATCAGCAGAAACTATCAGATTCTCAGCTAGATCAACGGCGCTCATAAATTCCGCGAGAAGAGCTATCTGGCTAAAGTCTTGGCAGGGGGGACCTTGCCTCTAAGTCCAAACTCTGCGGTTTGCCCTTCGAGGGAAAACTCCTCTTCGGGCCGGAACTAACTTCGGTCCTGGAAAGGTCGGTCGGTCGATAAAAACAAGAGCTTTCTAGTCCCCAGCAGGCAAGTAGGACGAAAGGGGTTTTGCCTCAACAGGCAGTACGCGACGAAGGATGCATATCTGCACATCCTGATAAGGGAGGAATTGAGAAAGTTTCTGAGGTTTTGCGCTGGAAAGCACAAAAAGAACGATTTTTTTTTCAGTTCAATGCACTCCCCTTTGGCCTGTCATCAGCTCCAAGGATATTTACCAAGATCCTAGTGGAACCCCTAAGAGTCTTGAGGCTGGAAGGGATAAATATCATCCCCTATTTGGACGACCTGCTTCTATTTTCGGATACAGAAAGAGGCCTGAGGTCCCACGTAGAATGCACAATATCTTTTCTAGTGAGCTTGGGGTGGTTGATCAACGAGGAAAAATCACAGCTAGTACCCTCCAGGAGGATCACGTATTTGGGGTACGTCCTGGACTCCGCAAATGCTTGCTCATACCTGACAACGGAAAAAGCTCTCAAACTGCAGCAAGACACAAGGGCCTTCCGGAGGATGTCGACCTGCACAGTAAGGAAGTAATGAAGCTAGTCGGGAGCATGACAGCCGCAATACCAGGGGTGCAATGGGCACAGCTCCACTCCAGGGTACTACAGAATCACACCCTCTCCCACTGGGATGGCAGCCAAGCAGGTCTGAATTCCAGGATCCGCCTCATGCACAAGGTGAGGAAATCACTAAGGTGGTGGGGGAACATCCACACCTTGGAGGCAGGAAGGAAATGGAAGCAAGCCAGCCCAGTGAGGATCACCACAGATGCAAGCATGACCGGGTGGGCTGCCTGGCCCAGGGCAGATGGGATGCAGAAAATTCAAGGAAATCATTGAACTACAAGGAGCTGTCGGCAATCTTCCAAGCGCTTACGGCTTTTCAGGAAAGGATAGAGGGGAGAGAAATCCAGATTTTATCCGACAACACAACGGCAGTAGCATACTTGAACAGGCAGGGTGGCACGAGGTCTCCAAGGCTGATGGGGTTGGCAGGAACCCTCCTGAGCTGGGCAGAGAGGAACCTAGAGTCCATCACTGCGGTGCATCTAAAAGGGGATCTGAACCAGTTGGCGGACCAGTTGAGTCGGAAAGAGGTCACCCAGACAGAATGGTGCCTCAGCCGTTCAGCATTCAATCAAATATGCACCAGATGGGGCACCCCCTCTACGGATCTCTTCGCCAACAGCCAAAATGCAAAGCTAGAGAGATACTTCTGCCTGCAGAAGGACCCCAGGAGTGCAGGGATAGACGCGCTAGCCCCAGCATTGGGAAGGAAACCTCCTCTATGCCTTTCCTCCGTTCAGATTGTTACCAAAGGTGGTACAGAAGATCCAGTCATCTCAAGCCACGGTCATCCTGATTGCACCGTTTTGGCCCAAAAGATCATGGTTCTCCCTGTTGAGGGAACTAAGCTTAACCGACCCCATGGATGATACCACCTTCACACGATTTACTCGCCCAAGGGGGAGTGCTACATCCTCACTCAGAAAGGCTGTCCTTAGCAGCGTGGCTTCTGAACGGGACAGGCTAGTAGTGGAGAAGGGGCTGTGTGAAAGAGTGGTCGTTACCATCTTGGACGGAAGGAAGAAATCGACAAATGCCATATATGATAAAGTCTGGAAGAAATTTTCCGCCTGGAAGGACAAGAACGAGGCACCGGGGGCCCCCATCTTGCATACAGTGCTTGAATTCCTCCACGCCGGGGCGGATAAGAACCTGGCCGCCAATACCCTTAAAGTGCAGGTAGCGGCTTTGTCAAACTTTCTGGAGGTTGGTGGCAGACCCATTGATAATCAGGTTCCTGAAGGCTATCTCCAGGTGCCGAGCCCCGTACACATCGAAATACCCCACATGGGACCTGGGCACAGCCCTGAAGAGCTTTCAGCAAGGGCCTTTCGAACCACTGGAGGAATGTTCCCTCAGATTTCTAACTCTGAAAACCACCCTCCTTATAGCATTAGTTTCCGCCCGCAGAGTCAGCAAATTTCAGGCTCTATCAGTAATTGAACCATACTACATGGTCCTGTTGGACAGAATCATCCTCCGCACAGATGCAACATTTCTACCTAAGGTCGCGTCACATTTCCATAGGTCACAGGAAATAATAATACCTTCCCTTGATGGCAACCCAGGCAGCACGGAAGAGGGGGAATATAGCAAAATTGATGTGAGAAGATGTTTGATTGCATACATCGAATGCACAAAAACATGGAGACGTTCGTCCCGTCTTTTCATCCTATTCCAGGGTCCAAAAAAGGGGGACAGTGCCTCCAAAGGCATCACCGCAAGGTGGATAAGAGAGGCAATCTCAGAAGGTTATAGAACTGCGGCCCTGTCACCGCCGCCTGGCCTAAAAGCACACTCGACAAGGGCCACCGCGGCCTCCTGGGCAGAAAAGGCGAGGGCCTCCCCCGGACAGATCTGCAGAGCCGCAACGTGGTCCAGTTTCGCCACCTTCGCTAAGCACTACAGATTGGATCTGATTGGCAGCAAGGACCAGGCATTCGGCAGGAAGGTACTACAAGCAAGGGGCCCACCCTAATGTATGTATTTCTATTCAACTCCTCTCAAGTGAAGCTGTCCTAGAAGATGACTCGGGAAAACGCAGTTATTTACCTGTTAACTGTATTTCCAGGAATCTTCTAGGACAGCGTAACTCCCTCCCAATTACTGTGTGATTATGTACTGATGTCCAGGTATGTTATGAACCTGTGATGGGTTGTCTCTATTACCGTTTTTCTTTTATGCTTTCTCCTAGGCCTTCGGTCATATTCTTATACTGAGGGCCCACTGGGAGAGAGCATACTTATAAAGGGGAAAAGGTGGAGCGGGTGTGTTTCCTGGGAGGAGCCCTATCTCTCAAGCTGTGAAGCTGTCCTAGAAGATTCCTGGAAATACAGTTAACAGGTAAATAACTGCGTTTTTTTTTTTTTTTAAACCTCCTGCCTTTAAAACCACTTTAAATATGTAATTTTTAACTTTGAGAATTTCTGCGGGTTTATTGGTGTGAAAGAAACACACTATTGGTTTTCTCTGCCTCCTTTTTTTTCTCTCATAGAGCATATAAAACAAACAATTAACAATAAGAAATCATTTTGATCATGCCATTATATACACCTATCCCTAAACACATATCCACTCCTTGTAGTAAAATATGCTTCAGAAATGTTATTGAATGGGTAAATTTGTGCTTTATCCACAAATATCATATGAAATATCATATGGAATATTAGGAAATATTGAAAGGTAACATTTCCATTAGTAATAAATGAGCTGACCTTAGTTTAGTTCGCAAACTCGAGACCCCGCACATTGTGCCTGAACCTTACTAAAGTTAATGGGAGTAAAACCTTGTAATTATTTTCTGCCCATTTTCAAGGCCAGTTTTCAAGCATTAGGTAACAAAGGGATATGAGTGAATGGGCACTGTCATGACAGGAAGCACCAATGCAGAACACATTTTTTTTCAAAATATTGTTCAGCAGGGAGCAAGGCTTAACCACTTGCCGACCGCGCATAGCCGAATGACGGCTTCACCGCGGCCGGCCAGTTCTGAGTGGACGTCATATGACGTCCTCCCAGAACGCGCTCTCCTGCGCGCCCCAGGGGGCGCGCACCCGGCGATTCCGTGATCGCTGTGTCCTACGGACACAGCTGATCACGAGATGTGGTGAAAGGCCGATCCCACCGGCCTTTTACCACGTGATCAGCGGTGTCCAATGACACGCTGATCACAGGAAAATGCAAGTGCCGGTTCTCGGCTGCACTTTCCTCACGCTGTCAGATCGTGAGGAAAGTTGCCGAGAACCGGCAGTTGTCAGAGCGGGGATCGGCACCGATTCAGGGCACTGATGATCAGTGCCCTGATGATCGGTGCCCAGCAGTGACCCCCGCAAGTTCCGATCAGCTGTGCGCCCACTAGCCCCGCCCACCCATTCCCAGCGGTGCCCCCACCTGTGCCCAGCAGTGCCCCCACCTGTGCCACTCTGCAGTGCCCCCACCTGTGCCACTCTGCAGTGCCACCTACCTGTGCCCAGCAGTGCCACCTACATGTGCCCAGCAGTGCCACCCACCTGTGCCCACCCACCTGTGCCCACCAGCGCCACCCACCTGTGCCCACCAGTGCCACCCACCTGTGCCCACCCACCAGTGCTGTCCACCAGTGCCACCCACCAGTGCCACCCACCAGTGCTGCCAGTCAGTGCCACCAGTCAGTGCCCAGGGGTTGTGCCAGTCAGTGCCGCCAGTCAGTGCCCAGAAGTGATGCCAGTCAGTGCCGTCTATCAGTACCCATCATCAGTGTCACCTATCAGTGCCGCCTATCAGTGCTGCATATCAGTGCCGCCTATCCGTGACCCCTAATTAGTGCTGTCTATCAGTGCCGCCTATCCGTGCCACCTCATTAGTTGCCTATCAGTGCCCTTTAGTGCTGCCTTATCAGTGCCCATCACTATCAGTGCCCATCAGTGCCGCCTCATCAACGCAAATCAGTGAAGGAGAAAAAAATACCTGTTTGAAAAATTTTATAAAAGAAACAAATAAACTTTTTTTTTTTTTTTCAAATTTTTTGCACTTTTTTTAATTTATAGCGCAAAAAGTAAAGCGCATCTCCCAGTGGCGATTAAATACCACCAAAAGAAAGCTCTATTTGTGAGAAAAAAAATGATCAAAATTTCATATGGGTACAATGTTGCATGACCGTGCAATTGTCAATCAAAGTGCGGCAGCGCTGAAAGCTGAAAATTGGCCTGGTAAGGAAGGGGGTATAAGTGCCTGGTAGGCAAGTGGTTAAAGGACAGCATTTAAAATACATAATTCCTCTGAACAACATTCTTGGGAGAGGCTTTACACCTGAAAATGAAGTGAAATACCTGTAGAATGTAATAAAGCAAAAGCAAATTTGGAAAAACAAAACTATTGCCACTAAATGAAATGATCCGGTTTGCAAACAAGAAAGTCAAAGGATCCTGGGTGACATCATTGACCCCGTGTAGTCATGATAATATGAGGTTAATGATGTTAGCTACCATCACTGGCTAGTTTGTTGACATTCAGTAGCCAGCTGGGTTGTTGTTATTTGTGGCTAAAGTCTGGTGGGAAAGGATCTTCTGCAGAGGTCTTGTAATATGTGTTGTCGGGGTTTTGTTCTCTGTGATTGACAATGGATCTACATCATTGGATGATGTAATTGATGATTGATTTACACTGTAGGACTTTTTTTTTTTTTAAATACATTGCCAGAGGGATCTGTGTGTTTATTTACATGACACTTTTTTTGTGAATGAGTAACAGGGGCAGTACTGCTTATTCACAAGCATTGGGGGTGGGGAGCCATATGAAGGACCACTTATTCTAAAATGGCTTCCAGCTTCCGATGCATCATTCTGCAGACCCCCACATCCTCTGAGCCAGAGATGTGTGAATGAGGCCTTTGACCCCTAGCAAGGTACTTTGCCAATGTTGAAGGCATGTGGCCTGGTATGGTTCAAGTGGGTAAGCATGATCGCTGCTCCTCCCTTTTCTGGCTAGTCAGGCTGCATGCCTGGATAAGGCTCTGGTATGGATTTTGGGAGGACCTCATGTTGATTTTTTTGTAGTTTTTTTTCTTTCATGGGGTCCTCTTGAAAAAATCTTTACCATACAATTATTTGGACATGCAGTTTGATTGACCAGAAAAGGAGGGGACAGTGATCATGCACCCTCTTTCATTAAACAAAATAAAAAAAGCATGGGGTCCCCCTAAAATCTATACCAGATCTTAGAGTCACCTTTTAATCATACCAGATCCTTTAAAAAAAATTACATGGACCCCCCCCCCCAAAGCCATACCAGACTCTCTCAACATGCAGCTGAATGGCCAGGAAAGTGAGGGGCAGCAAATGTGTGCCCCCTGTCCTAAAGCATAGCAGGCCACATGCCCTCAACTTTGGCAGGGTACCTAGAGCTAGCCAGCCCCCCCTCCTGGAGAGGTGTCTTTCCCCCATGTTAAGGAGGACAAGGGCCCTTTGGCCTGTAAATGTTGGGGTCTGTGGGGGAGACTTATCAGAATCTGAAAGCTTCTGTTAAAAAAGGGGGGTCCCAGATATGCACCTCCCTTTTGTGATTAGGTACTCTTGTTACTCATTCACAAAAAAGTACAATGTATGTAAATAAACACACAGACATCATTGGTAAAATGCATGTCCCGCAATGAAAAATCCATCATTAACCACACCATCCAAGGATGTGGATCCATCATCAGTCATGATGAACAATGCTGTAACTACCCACTAATAGAAATTATACATTGCTTTCCTGCCAGACTCCTATCACAACTGACAGCTCCTTTTAGCTGCCTGAATGGGAACAGCGGCTCTAGGGAAACCTGGCTGAAGTCATTGACCAAATATGGTATTAGAGGTATAAGGTCAAGCATACAATGCTTTACAAAAAGTAGAAACTGATGACCATGTTCCTGCAGTACTGGATTGGGTGGCAACTATGCCAATGATTATTTATTGGATCTCGCAGCCTAATTCTACATATAATAAGCAGATGGTTACCACTATGCTTGTAGGCAAGTAGGTTGACATTTTTCCCCCTGTAACTATTCCATTCCATTAACGTTCAATGCTTTGATGACATTTAAGCTTTACCCATTGATTTTCTTCTGAAAATGATAGTCCTAGAAAGAATGTAGAAAAGTTTAAGAGAAGGAACTTTAGGAGTGAAATATCACATTGTAGTAAGAAGCATGCTGTGTGATAAAGTCTTCGGATATGCATCTTTTCAGGTCAAAGCCTGAAGCTTATTAATTCCTTTGACTGCAGTTACTGCTCCCAAGGGGTGCTTTTCCATGAAAGAAAATTCAATGGAATATCCTTTAGAGTTTAAAAAAACTCCGCCATTGAAGCTTGAAGAATAAAACAGAAATCTCAAGAGGTTTAATATTTTGATTGTCTTCAGAAGCTAGTTGATTAGGTGCTTCTTAGGTAAGGTGTATTCATGATGTATATAGAAAAATTGGTGAAGGGGAGCAAGTCAGGTTTAACATTTTGGGTCATGATGCAGGAGTAATCATTCAGTAACAAGAGTGGCTGAGTTAACCCTTGAGGTTATGTGTCTATAAGTAAACATTCTGGTCAACCTTTTTGGTTGAAGAACAAGCAGAGGTATAATAAGAAGGAGTAGCAGTCAGCTGACAGTGGAAGCAGGTAATAGTGGCAGGTGACAGAGGAGAACCTGGTAGTGAGAGAACAGGTGTACTTCATGTTCCCCACTTTGTGGTTTGGTCTCCACATTGGAGTCTGCTGCAGTACAAAGCCTGCCTAGGGACCAAGCCTGGGATCATGAAATGCAAGGCTTTGCACAGAGTGAAGTACGGTGGCTTTCTTATGTGCACTAGGTTGTAAGGAGGAGTGTCAAGTGAGGATGAAAAATAGACTGGTGATGTTAAGGACATATTCAATATTACTTTTTCAAAAGGCTACCGATTCCATTGTTGGGGCCAGGAGGAACAGACTTAATGGTCGACTGAAGAGGACAAGTGACATAGTCCTCAGCGTATGGCTACAATGGAGAAGTGACTCCTGCTATGAAGTGTTAATTTCCACAAAAGTAAGTGACATTAGCATACAAGTTAAATGGCTTGTGATGCCATCAGGTGCCCCTATGGGCGATGCAGTTGCACCTTCTCAACAAACTTCTTGCCAATTACCATGATGGGCAGCCTCACAGGCAAAGAGTGAGATGTAGGAGGCAGAAAGGAACAGGATCAGGCTATGGTTACTTGTTGAAGTTTGTCTATCAGAGTGCCCCAGGTTTCAGAGGTCCTCGGTTTCTGAGTGAGAAAGCTGGGCTGCTGTGAAAATTGAATTAAATTGAGGATGGCTGTAAACACATATAATTTGGAAATATTTGAGTTTATTTCGTATTCAATGTAGCTAGTATAAGTAATTCTGTGCATAACAACTTCCTGTAATGCTCTATTGTTTTAACAAGTGCTTTTAGCCCAATACGGTGAACATGTGGAGGCAAAGAGCATGGTGAGAAGAGGGATGGCATCATTAGTGTGTTGCTGCTTCTTCACTGTTGAACCACAAAATGTGAGAAGATTCTTGATCAAGCTGCAACGATGAACTGCACTGGAGGTCAGGGATACAGCTATGCTTCTGAGAAGGATGTCTGAAACACAATATTAGTTAAACATAACTCCAAATATTCTGGCAGGTAAAACAATGCTTATGTATATGTGTTCCACCAGTGTATTCATCTATATGCTGTGACTTTGTTTCCTAAAAAAGGCTATAGTTTCATTTTAATAATTTAAAATGTGATACTTGCTTTACAATTATTGTTTGGAGGAGTCTGGATGGAAAAGTTCCAATTCAATATTCTCCTTTTAGTGCTTCTTCCAAAAGCTCCTTGCTAATAACCATCATCGTCACTATGCAAGAATAAAATATATTTTAATATAATAACTTGAATACCTATAACAAGTAGCTGGAAATACAAGATTAGACATTTTCCATTCATAGGTTCAATTTGGTGTGAATTTTTCCATTCACTGGCTGCCCTCATACTGTCTGACGAAGTGTTAGATGCTGGAAAATCATGCTGTCACAAAGGAATTAACAGCCCTACTTACTGTGCTTATGTCTGACCACGCTAGGTGGCACAAAGACAAAGAGAGGCTTTCACACAAGTTTAGTAAAATAAAATAAAAAAGAAAGTTAAATCCACCTGGGTTTGGGAAACCAGTCTTTGCTGGAGACTGGAGGTTATAACGGATAATTTAATTGCCAGCCTTGACTTTGCCAAGTGCAACAGCAAGGCTACAACTGCTTAGCCCAAAAAGAAATAAGTTGTTAACCAGCTGATTCAGAATTCAATTACTGCATTCATCATTTATATTGTAATTTGACTGTATTTTGTGATCTTCTGATGTGCCGCATTTTTCACATTAAAGTGCTTCATTACGGACTAAAATTGCCGACAAATACAGTATATAGTATATATTAATAAACAGGTTGTATAGTAGTTTTGTTTTTATTGTCTTTATTATGTAGATATGAAATATTGAATGTGAACATTTTCACATTTTAATTTGTAGCTAATAGGTGGAGCTTTAATCTAATTATCATGTTTTTCATGGTATAATTATCTGCCTTGCGTAAAAAAAATGATACTTACGGAGCTCAATAACTCAAGCTAAATTAGACAGAAGTGGCTCTGTCTAATGTGAAATAGGGACAGAGAGTCTGACAGTAAACAACTCCTTGTATGAGTTTTCTTTGGCAAATATTTGAAATCTTGTGCCATTAGTATATACAGACAACACCATAGTGCTAATTTGCTAGTGGGAACCAGGAAAGCT